GAGCGCCTGGCTGGGAAAGCCCGCTTCTGCAGCACCTGGCCTCTGCTCAGTCCGGAACCTGCTGGCTACAGTGCTGGTTCTCCATGGCTGTGGGCAGACACAAGTTATACTTCCTTCCAGAGGGGCAGCATGTGCCTCTGAAAAGCCAAACTATACAGAACTTAGAACTGGCAGCCCACCAAACCTCCTCTAACTGAGGGACTTTTTTGGAAGGATGCTTTATAAGAAACTAAATTGAGTCTTTTGTGAGAAAAAAGATCAATCTCTTCAGAATCCAGAAAGCTAGGCATAATAGCTGGAGACCCATTGAAGTGACCAGGGAGAAGAGCCCCTTCTGCCCTGGATCACTCAGCACCATCTTTTAGAACAGCCCAATGTTGAGCCTGTAGCTCCCAATGTCAGGAGAAGGGAAATGGAATCAGACTGTATTTTGATTGTTGCTGAAGAAAGTGTTAACTTTTGCTAAAGAATTTGTGGCTTGTGGTTTCACTTTCCTCCAAGTTTGTCCTGAAGGTTAAATCCCACCACATGTTTTTGGTTTCTATGTCAAACAAGGGTAAATTCCTGCTTCTCCTCCTAGCTGCTTGATTGGATTATGTGCTCACTGCTCAAATATCAACCAAACTGTAGTTCCTCAACTCTTATAAGTAGAATGGACCCTGGGTGTTATAGAGAATATAGACTCTATGGAGCTTCCCAGTGCTGAGAAGGCAAACAGACAGGTAGATCCCTGGGGCTTGTTGGCAAAGCAGCCTAGTTTACTTGATGAATTCTAAGCCAGTGAAAGACTCTGGCTCAAAAAAGAAAAGATAGACAGCTCCTGAGGAATGACAGCTGAGACTAACCATTGGCCTCCACACACACACATGCATGTGTACACAATACTCTCCTCTCCCCCCACCCCTAACGAAATAATCTAGCTCAACTCTTCCATTTTACTATGTAATTTTACAGGTAATTAAACCAAAGCCAGAGAGTTAGTTAAATAACTTGGCCCAACTCCCCCATATGGATAGTAATAGCAGATAAATGTCTAAAATGCAGGCCTGTTGATGCCCACCCAAGCCTATGCCATGGGGATGAGGAGTGGAACCATATACTTGTGAAAGGAGAAGCACTTTGAAGAGTGGATGCAACAAGAATGGGACCATGTAATACCATGTATGAGGTCATTACTGAATGTGTGAAGGCAAAGAGTGCAAATGGAGAGAGAAGACAGGGACCAAAATTGAAGGGGCTTGAATGTGAACTCCTGCTCAGTACTGCTCTGCATCCCACTCACATGTTGGAAACCTTGTTTCAGTAGCTCTAGGTGATGCCTAGGCTTCTATAGGGTTATGTGTATGGATATATATATATATATATATATATATATATATATATATATATAATTTTCATTAAAAATTTTCTTTCCTTTTACATACCAACCCATTCCCCTCCCTCCTCTTCTCCCACTCCCCCTCCACTTACCCCTATACCACCCCCATCCCCTCCTCATAGAGAGCAAAGCCTCCCTTGGGTGGTCAACACAGGCTGTTATACCATGTTGGGGCTAGACCTAGCCTTTCCCTCCTGCATCAAGGCTGAGTAAGGCATTGCACCATAGGGAATGGGGTCTAAAAAGCCAGTTTGTGTACCCGGGGTAAGTCCTGGTCCCATTGTCAGAGGACCCACAAACAGATCAAGCCACGCCACTTTCACCCACTTTCAGAGGGTCTAGTTTGGTCCCATGCAGGCTCCCCAGCTGTCAGTCCAGAGTCCATAAGCTCCCATTAGCTTGGGTCAGCTATTCCTATAGTTTCTCCCATCATGATTCTGACCCCCCTTGCTCTCAGAATCCTTCCTCCCTCTCTTCAACTGAACTCCAGGATCTTGGCCAAGTGATTGGCTGTGGGTCTCTACATCTGCTTCCGTCAGTCACTGGATGTAGGTTCTATGATGACAATTATGGTAGACACCAATCTGAGTGCAGGGGAAGGCTAGTTCAAGAACCCTCTCCACCACTGCTATGAGTCTTAGCTGGGGACAATCTTGTGAGTTCCTGGGGTTTTCCCTAGTTGCAGATTTCTCCCCATCCCCTTAATGGTACACTCTGTCAAAATATCTCTTTTATTGCTCTCAATAGGGTTTCAAAGCCCCCTTTTGGCTATGATGGTCATCCACATTGGAGGGTTTCATTGGCCTTTTACCAAGCTATCAAATATGGAGGCCCACTTGGAGACTGCCAATATTTACTAAATATAAGCACTCATAACTTAGCATTTCAGACATGAACATATGCTTAAAAGAAATTCTTATGCTAATCAAGAGATACAAAGTCCTACTTCTAAGCAAGAAGCTTTCTGCAGTTGATAGCTGTTGAGAAAGGAAGAATCAGTTTTCTTCAACAGAGTGACACTTGGTATATCAACCACCCTCCAGGGCAGGGCCCATGCTCAGGAACAGTTGGCCAACACAAAATAGACCTCATGCTTGTTTATTTGTGTGTGTGTGTGCTTTTGCTATTTAGTTTGTTCATTTTTTAAAAAGAAGAACATGAAGTTGGGTGGGCAGGGAGGTGTTAGGATCTGGGAGGAGTTGGGGAAGGGCATGTAATATGATCAAACTATATTGTATGAAATTCTCAAAGAAAAAAAAATAGAATACCCAGAAAAGATTCTCAGCCCCAAATAAGAAATACATCAGTGTTCGTCAGGGTAACTGAGGTCTTTTCTTTCAATGGGACCCTACACACAGTAAAAACAAAAAACAAAAAACAAAACAAAAAAAACACTGCTAAACACATCAACATGGATGAATAACACAGAACTATGCCAAGCATAAGTTCTTTTTAGGCAGACAAGCTGTATGATTCCATATGAATGCAATAAGTAATACTGGGTGAATGAAATCAAAGTAATAATTGCCTCTCTGTAGGAATATTAACTGGAAATGGGCAAGGCACTGGAAATCCTTAATGTCTCAACTGGGTAGTGGCTACACAGTTACATAGACATCATGTAAAATACTGAGCTGTTAACTTATTCTCTTTACTGTGTACATAGATGACACATTGAAAAGTATAGAATTCACATTTACATTGGCAAGCCCATAAGGCTGCTGTAAGAATCTCGTTGCTTTCAAACATAAGATGAATAGAAAGGTACAGTCTTGTGTTACCAAACTGGCAGGCCACCTATTCTTGTTGAAGTCAGTGTGGTGCGGCACCTGTAATTCCAGTGACCCATCAGCCTTTGCAAGGCGCAGCCAAATACAAAAAGTTAGTGAGGACAGGCTGCAGCTGCAGTGGCATCCAACTCAGCTTCGCACAGAGCTTCTCCTGACTGCTGATGGCTAGTTCAGTCTGCGCTGAAACTCCGGGAAGAGGGTCCTTGCAGCTGCAGTTTTCCATTCCATGCCCTCCCTTTCCACTCTGTTCGCCTCCCCGAGGAGACAGTAAACACCATCTGGACCACTGCATTCACCAGCCCGGAAACCCAAATCTCTTCTTCCCATCAAGAAAATTATGCTCAGCCTGACGTGCCCTCCACCAGTGGGAACCAGCCATGGAGCTTCTGCCAGCTCTAAAGTTTGCTGGCCCTGAACGAACACAGAAAAGTATCTGTGGTCATTAGTACCTGGAGGGCAAAAAGGCAGGGTGCAAGCAAGATGAGGGTGAGTGGAGAAACCCTGTCCGGTCCACACAATAACCTCATTTCTGGATCATTACTTTTCAGTTTCTGAGAATATCATCTGTACTGAGCAGTGTAGTTTAAGTAGCTTAGGAGAAACACATGGCCACAAATACTGATAACGTTATCTTTATTTGTCCATTACTTACCAAGGCCAGCTCACCTGAGGACGGTTTGTTCCTTTAGAAAAAGACTCCAGCACCAGATGTATTAAGATGTAGGCCATATTCTTCAGATTCTAAACTTTTAAGAACTGTGCCTATTCTCTTTCCAGTATACACTCTGGTCCTATGTATCTTTAACATACACCATAGAGTTGACTTAAGATAACTTATGATCTCTGGTCCACTGGACCTGTTTTTCTTAATTTAGCCATTTAGCATATGCTGTATCTAATCATTTCTGTGTTCAATCATCAGAACCTAAGATATGGCCAGCAATATGTGTGAATATCCTACAAATATTTCTTTATTTGCTTGTTCAAACATGGGTTTTATTTTTTAACACAGTAGATAGTTGATAAATGCATGAGAACAGGTTTTAAGATTCTCTCTCTATACACACACACACACACACACACACACACACACACACACACACACACACAATGAAGTTCACAAAGATGTGTATTTTCCAGAATAAAAATGGATACCCACCACCACCAAGCTCCAAAGACATTGAACATAGAAGGATATTAATAAAGCTATGACAATTAGGAGTTAACCTTGAACAACATTTCCTTAGCCAGGCCAAAGAGAGCAATTGTGTTTAAGTTCATTGAGGGAAAACTTACAAAAATCAACACACAATTTTTCTGTACAGTCACACTCGAATATCAGCTGTAAGAAAAGTTAACACTGTCCAAGGAAGACAAAGTTCCAAGAAACGGAGCCTATTTTTTCTTTCTCAAAGGTTTTACAGAGGGGCAGTGGAACCTTCTCTGTTTTCTGAAAGGGTCTGACTTGCTTCTAAGAAACATTAGCCTGAGGTTGAAACTATGGGGTGTGATTGTCCTTTTCACTGCTCAATTAATTTTTCAGGGAGGGAGAAGACAGGCTAGGCAATGATTTTTCTTCAGAAAAAATGCCCCTTGGACTCAGGCTTAGAGATTTAATTCTCATTTGTCTCCTCCTGTCTCCACCATTCACTCATTTTTCTTTTCTTAAACTAATATGCCAAACTCCAGAAGTAATTTCCAGAACAAAACCATGCCTGGAAGGGAGTTTGAATTTGAGTAAAACTTCCCTTTCATGAAAACAGCTCTCCTGTGTCATTCACTGAGTAGTCCCCCACCCCAAGAGAGGATATTAACTTGCAGTCAGTACTTACCTGTCTGCGGACAACGCTGTAAGTGTGAAGACAGACACCCCCACTGAGGTAAGCTGTATGAAGGGGATCAGTTTGCAGCCAATCCTGCCAAATAACCATCTGTCAGCCAGGTACTTGCTGGCATCCACAGGGGCGCAGGTTACCAGTAGCAGCAGGTCTCCCAAAGCCAGGCTAGAGATGAACAGGTTTGGCACGTTTCGCATGGACTTGACTGTGCAGAAGATCTTGATCAGGGTGATGTTGCCAATGAGGCCTATCACGATGATAACCCCATAAACTGCGGGGATGACGTAAATGATTCCTGGGTAGAACCAGTTGTCCATCTTGGGGGGATTCAGACTTTGATTGACGGTGTTGTTGCAGTACAGGAAAGGGTCCACTTCCAGGTTCAGGTGGGAACAATTATTCAGAGCCATCTCAAGACTTCTCTCTAGAAAAGCGCCTTTAAGATGCTGCTTCTTAACTTCTGGTTTTGCAGTTAGGTGATGAAGGTAAGATCTGTGCTAGGCTCTTGGTCTCCTTTAATAAAAACACTCTGAATGCACACACACTGGTATTCCAAACTCTAGCTCAGTACGTTGATGTTGGTTCTGCCCCAGCCTCCACACCACCAGTGAGTGATACATCTATCTGTAAATGCCCTAAGTTAACAAGCAACAGAAACTCAGCCCAAAGAAAAGCTTAGGATTAAGCCCACTCTGTCCCAGTTCTTCCTACCTCCATTCTAGTCTGAGTCCCTCTGGCTGCAGTTTGCTAAGAACTTTTGGATTGCTATTTTCACACAGCATTTCCCGTCTTTCCTGATATGTAGAACCTGAAGGTTTAAAGTGGGTAGAAAAAAACTGCACCAAGAAAGCCTCCAATCCTATAGGCAGGATGCTTTGCACGTCACTGGCTTTCCCAGCAAACGGCAGCTCTCCTGAGCTGAGGCTTTGAAGAGGAGCCAGGACCACGTATAGACAGCGAATGCCAGCCCCCTGCTGGACACTTCAATCACTGCCCAGCTGCCCGCTTTCTCCAAATGAGAATCAGCCAGCAGATTGCAACTCCTGTGGCTTAACAGATACCTTGCCTTTTCATTTAAGCCAGCAGCACCCATAGTCGGTATTTAATAAATGCTGCTCTCTGCAAAGACTAGGGCTCTCTCTGATACTATCTCCATGAGTTCCTATGTGACTCATGACCCTCCCCATTTCTAATCTTCACTAATGCATTAGAATCGTACGTCTGGGTCTGTGTGTGTGAGCTGCCCCTACTTAGTCCCTTTGGAATAGGGACTGTTACTGAGAAGTGCATGTACAGGACTCACACCTTAAACCTCCAGCAACAGACTTCAGGAAAACCAGAAGCACAATACACATGTGCTCTTTCCTGAGAATTTCCCAAGCCCCTGTGTTTCTTAACTACGGAGCCAGCTGCATGCTTAACATTCAAAGATCAATAATATTTTTTCCAGAAAAAAATATGCCCTTTTTCTTCTGATCTAAAAACTGGCTTTTTAGTGTAGCTTTTGCATTATTTGGCAAGCTTTCAATTTCCTCTGAACTATACAACAGTTGTGAATTCTCCCAAGAAATGGGGGGAGGGAGAAACTGGTGAAAGAAATAAGTTATGGCCGAAGGAGTGCTGAGAAAGACTCTATTAAAAATACTATCAGAATCAGGCTTGACCTTTAGCTGGCACTAATGCATACATTATAAGGCTGTACCTTCAAGATGTCTGTGGAGCTGTGGGCCCTTCCTGAAAGTTAGCTAATAACAGAGCGCTAGTGGAAGGCTCATTTTTCAGGGCCCATAAGGAATAAAGAAACGAGTGCTTGTTACCATGTCAGGGCCCACCAAGCAAGCTTCCAAGTGTGTTGTCATGGACACTTGCGGCATTTGATACCCAGGTGGCTGCTGTAATATGAAAGGCTCCATGCAGGCAGCACGCAGAAGACTGATGCCACGTGCTTGTAGGTAGAAGGCTTTCTTAGTGGAGTCCAGCCTCGACAGTAATGAGTCAATAACCATGAGCCCAGTGGTGTCCATCAGTTGCTAGCAGTACAACTTACTGATGCAAGACATGAGCTTCAGTCCTGACTGACCCTCTCATTTATTACCTTGGCACATTGCCTGGGCAAATTACTTACATGTCTTCAGGTTCAAGTTCGTTATCTGTGGAGCGGGGATAATTTATGAAGGTTAATAAAAAACAATCCCTGGTAAGACCGTATAGTATTTATTCCATTTGATTAATTTTAGCTACTTATCACTATTACCATAATTACCATTTGGGGATTGAAGGGAAAAGATTTGCTTTGGGACAGCTCAGAAGACTGATTGATCTCAAATCAATAGACAAGAGTTCCACTCACACTGGTGAATCACCAACGCCTCTATTTACATGAGGGAAATTTACAGCTTCCAGGTACCACACATATAAGAGGCTAGACAGTGGTGCTGAGCAAGGGGACTTCTTTTTAGACACTACTGCCTTTCTAGAATGAAGCAACCACCCTTTCTTCAGAAAATGTGATACTTGATGCTGAAGGTTTGCTAAGTGTGTGCTAGAGCTTTCTGAACAGCTACAAAGCAGCATGTGATTAGTGGCACAAAGGAGGGGTGGCACTGAGCAAGAGAACCACTCTAAGCCCCTTTATAAAGGTCACTCAAATTAGAAGAGACCGGGCAAGGGGAGTGCAGCATGAGACACAGCTGGAGGCAAGCTGGTGAGACAGTGTCGAATCCGATGTTGTCGCTATGAAGTCCTGTCTACAGAGTTTGGGTGCGCAAAGGGGACTTGTGGGCATGATTTCTCGTTGTTCATCAGATGCCTCCATGTGCTGAGTCAGTCTGACTTCGTAAATCCACTTAGGCTATTAGTGTTTCTTCCCGTGTAAGCGGATGTGGGCAGGTGTTGCTTTCTCAAAGCTGCCGCTAACATTACACCTTCCCCAGCAGAGCAGTATAGACTGTTCTAAAGGTATATTAAGAGGGAAGATATATTGAGGAATGATATCTACTATTTTCTAAATTCAAGGATGTTAAAAAAGGCTAACCATGGAATTCTGAATTCCATCTCTAGTGTTGTGTCATCTTCTAGGAAAACACTGACCATACTCAGACCTTTGCTTAGCTTGTTGTTTCGTGACGAGCACGAGATGCTTGTGACTTAGGAGAATGAAAGGGAACAAATATAAACCAAGTCTCTGGCCTCGAGGAAGCCAGTGTCTCACTAGGATGGGAATGTGACAAACGTTTTTTCCTGTGTGTTGACGGAAGGATGTCATGTGTGCTTCCATTGCAGTCAACAGAATCACATTTTCTACTCTTCCAAAAGAGCTGCTCTTCTGGGGGAATTTTAATATGAGCGGGGCAAAGATCTGTTGAAATTTAGGAGGGTAGCTGGATTCCATAGAATCAAAGAGAAGAGAGAAAGTTTCTTCCAATGGTATGTGCTGGTATTATATTTTCCACCAACTAAAATTCTTGATAAGGCAACACAACTAAGCTGAATTAGTTACAGCATGAGTGTATCCAGAAAAGAGAAGGGCAGTGCAAAATAAAATAAAGGATGTTAGATCTGTTGGGGGAAGACTTTTCAGTGAAGATTTCAGGCTGGACATTAGTCTATAAGATGCAAGTCTTAAAAAAAAAATGTGGGCCTGGAAAGATGGCTCAGTATTTCAGAGTGTATACTACTCTTTCTGAAGATCTGATTTCAGGTCCCAGCACTCACATCTCACAAATTCCAGCTCTAAGGGGACTCTGTGCATTTAGCCTCTGCAAGAACCCACACCAACATGCATGTACCCCCACACAGATACACATACATACATAATTACCAAAAAATTTAATCAGCAAGATTGTCAGGGGTGCATTGTTAAAATACAACTTCTGAGCCCTACCCTATATGTACTCATTTTAAATCTTCAGTGCCAGAACCCAACAATCACTATTTTTCATTTAAATGTGCAGGGGAGTCCAGATCTTTGTTGTACTGGGGGCTAATGAGACAAACAGCATAGGCCCTAGAGATCATGTCATCATGACAGTACTTATTGTGTCCCTTCTGCTGAGGGAGTAAGAAAGGGAGCATAGTTAAGAGTTTACATTGTTGCTATGGGTTCTTGCTACCCAAGAGTAAATCCTTACGCCTGCAGCATGGGCATGACCTCAGGGCTAGGGGCATGGCTCAAATGGTTGAGGCGTTTGCTTGGGCCTAGCAACCTAACTTCAATCCCTGAACCCCACAAGGTGGCAGGAGAGAACTGACTCCAGAGAGTTGTCCTCTGACCTCCATACTGTGTGGCACCTTAATGCCTGTGCATGCTCACATAAATTAAAAAATACAATTTTAGAACTGCAGAATCCTCGGCACTACTCCCAGCCCTCTGATGAGCTACATTTAAAAGAAATGATCTTCATGGTAACATGATGCATTTTAAAGTCTGTGGAACATGGATGTAGCACCAGGAATGTCTGGTAACAATGGTTAAGAAATCAGGATAGGAACAGGAAATGGGCATGAGGTTGAAGGCTTGCTCAAGTTCAGCATGGAACCAGGAACTGAACCACCTCAAAATTCAACTAAGAACCACTTCAACCCTGCAGCTCAGTGTGGTAATGCAGGCCTGTAGTCATAACACATGGGAGTCTGAGGCAGGAGGATTAAGAGTTCCAGATTAGAAAACAAGTAGATAAAAAATAAAACATTGTATTGTGGTTTCTTCACATCACTGATAATGGCTGTGGAGTTCCCCCAGATTCTTGATAATGGCTGAGAGTTGTCCCAGTGTCTTAGACTACATCACTACATCCAGGAGTAAGGCTCCAATCATGGAAATCCACCTGCCTCTGCCTTCTGAGTTTTGAGATTCAGGGTATGTGTCAGTTGACCCAGCCATAGGATTGATTTTTTTCCCCTTTGTTTTTGGAATATCACTCCGAGAATAAAAAGCAAGGACAAGACGGGAGTCAGTCTAGAGGGAAATTCTGAACCTGGTCTTGCGACAACTGAATTCACTATAGGAATGAAGGAAGGTGAGTGAGTCAATGGAAAAGAAAGATGAAGACAGAGAGGTGAACGCTGAAGAGAATGGAGGACAAGAATGCTAAAGGCCCGATAGTCCAAACACACAGCAAAAGAGGCAAGAGTAGAGTGGCATTCGGTTTGGATGAGAAGGTGATGTGCTGAAGGTCGGTGAGCACTGGGCATGGTTTGAATGTGAGCTCGGTGACAGCAGCTGTGCCGACGACTGCAGCAACTCTGGCTTGAAAAGAATCTGAAATGTCAAATTTTAGTGCAGCAGCAGGAACAGACAAGGCAGATGACTCTATCCAGACCCTACGAAGCTGGGATTGTTTCAAGTTCCCTTTTCTGTTCTCAACACTCTGGGACTTTTCATGGGCTGGGAAACTTCCGTGAAAGATGAAGGATGTGTTCCCAAAGAGTGAGTGTCGGCTTGAGCCTTAGGAAGCTGCAGAAATAAATGCAGATGGCCAGAGAAAGCCTGGAGAGGAAGCCCACATTCTTAGCTCACATCAAAGCTAAAGGAACAGGCAATGTTGTGGCTTTTAAGTCTGCCTGTTCTTGATGTGTGTATGCTAGATGACCTTGACTGACCACTTGATGAACTTAGAATCACCTTGGGAACAAATCCCTGAGCTTATCTAGGACGGAGTTCCTTGATATGGGTAATTGAGATAGGAAGGCCAATCCTAAATGTGGACAGTACCTGTCTATGCATTGGGGTCCTGAATTGGATATAAAGAATGCGAGGTAGGCCGGGCGGTGGTGGCGCATGCCTTTAATCCC